AAAAGCTGCAAAAAATATATTTTCAAACTATTTATTGGCAAATTTAGTCTAATAATTGAAAACATGGATTAAATATGAAACAAATAAAATAAAACACATACAAAGCAGAACACAGCTAAATGTATCAAAAGTATGTCTATATAATGTTAGACTTTTGAGAATTTTTGGACCAAAAATATCGCAATATATCGCCTTGTTTACAGTATCGAAATATATCGGGATATATCGGGATATATCGGGATATATCGTATCGTGACCCCTCTGTCATGATATGTATCGTATCGCCAAATTCTTGCCAATACACAGCCTTAATTTTAACTGAACACAGCGGTCATGGTGAATGGAGTGGAACTATAATCCAGTGTGAAGGGGCTTAGCGTGTAATTTAGTAAAAGAAAAACCTGAATAACACTGACATTAAATTAACACCTTTTTTATGATTTAGTCTAAAAAGCAAACATAAAAAAGCTGTTTCCTAAAAGTTTGAGTAGACTTCTAAATCAAAAAAGGGCAAAAATGTCCTAAGGACGATACATATCACATGTGGAAGATTTATTATGAATACTGAAACATCTGTACACCAAACCTTTTATCGTAAGACTTTGAGGAAAATGACTTCTGAACAAAGAAAGGTTGGCTGTGGTGCAGGAGTACGATCGCTCTGCAGGGCCTAAAGAACTAAAAAAAAAAGCTCTGCATTAATATTCTGCATTAGCAGAATGCACATAAGTGTAAGGTGGAGTCATCCAGGGATCCTGCGGTCTCCTGGGCTCATGTGGGTGTGAGAACTAAAGAGCTGAGTTCAAATTTCTTTATGAGAACAGACATAAAAGGTAAAAAAGAGAGAAAGCACCATCAGGTCTACCAAGGTGAAAACCAGTGGAAAAAACAGCTGAATGCAGCTTTGCAAATATTTGTGCATCTCTGCATTTCAGCGGAACTGCTAACAATTCATCTAATCTGCTGTCTGCAGTGGTTTTTAAAAACCTAAATATTAGAACACAACAAATCTGCCCTGAGAAGCACTCGTAGCTTCTGTTTAGGTCTTTTGATTAGAGAGAACAGTCAAAAAGTTTTAACGACCGTGACTCGCCCTTTTTCACACACGAGATATGAAACATTAATGGCTTCATCAATCTCTGGACGTGACAGCGTTCAGTCATTCACACATGGGTCACTTTTAATGTTCCTCATACTTCATTCAGCCTGTGACAGGGATTTAAAAAAGCCACGGTGCACGTGACACTTGTTACCCGCATGAGATTAAACGATATATTGGGTTAGGCAGCCTGAACACCCTGAGAGAGACAGCTTTCACACTGAAGTGGTTTTTTATGTCAGCTTAACCAGTGTTAGATCCTCTGAGAGGTTAATTGCACTACTGTAACATAACTGTCCATCTTTCCCTCTGTCTGATTACACTCTTTCAGATGAGAAGCTGCATCGTCACAAAATTATATATAAAAAAATAAGACAGCATGTGGGAGCAGTGACAAACCCTCAGCTACAGCTCACACACATTTAAACAAAGTTCTATTTGGATCAAACGCCGAGGAAAAAACAGAAAGCATTGGCTTCCTTAAAGAAATGCATGTCACCCAATCCTTTGAAGCAGAAATTTAAATCATCCACAGTTGTAGTTGTTTTGTATGGAAGAGCATTGCATTCACCAAAGAAAAAAAATACTCTGGATCAATTATGAGATAAGAAAAAAGTTGAGGAGAGTTATAGCTGACCTGCACTACAGAAAAAGTGGACAATGACTGCGCTATTTGATTTGCTAGGTTTTTATTTCCTCTTAGGGATGAGACACTTGGTCCCGTTTCATCCCTGCGGTTCAGAACTTTTAATAAACTCTGGTAGGCACTTGTGCATTCGGCATCACACAAACACGTCCAGGTGGAACATAAACTCAAAACAATAGTTTGTATTGTTACATCTGTACCTGCTAAAAAGCCCTTTCACTTATTTTTCTGTAATTATACCATCTTTTCTCAATTATTAGGGATGTCCTGATCCAGATTTTTTGGCTCCCGATACAATCCGATTTTTTTTAATGATTAGTCTTTCTGATACCGATCCAATAACTTTATTTCTTTCCAAGTGACAAGGTTGGTAGTTTTAAAGCGAGCCCTGCTGTTCCCACCATGAGAAACATCCTGTTTGCAGATTTTGCAAGCTGCAGTTTCAGCATCGTTTTCCAGTAAAAAGTGTTCCCACACTGTGGACATTAGGAATGTGCGATATGGCAAAAAATTCATATCACGATATACATTATGATAAGTGGCGGTAATGATATATATCACAATATAATTTGCAGATAATTTTTTTCTGCACTCCAYGTGTTTAATCTGTGCGCGCTCCAGCGGGCTGACAATCATCCCGTTTATGCTTTATTTTATTTTTTTGGAAAGACAGTCTGACTGTCAGCCTCTCCCACAGCGCTTCCCCGCTGTACAAGGAGACAGTAAAGGCTGAGTTATAGTCGCGCTTTGGAACGAGCGCGAAGTGGGCGCGGAGTGCGCGCGCATTCGGCCGTGTGTCRTTGCGCTATGACCGCAGGAGAAATGAGGTCCAGACTCAGCGAGCTTTTGTGTGTCCTGGAGCACTACTTCACCTGCACCGACAGTCGCCTCGCTGCGCCATGTGCCGCGGCGAGCGCTCCTCCCGCAGCWGGCGGTGTGACCGGTCGGGAGCACGCGCCGTCACGTAAACATGTAAACAGTTCGGCGTTCATTTTTGCACACCCGAACCAGGTCCGGATTAGTTTTTTTCCCCTCTTCATTTGCGTTGTCAGCCACGCTGCTTCCTGCTTCCTCTGTTTTGACTCCAGCTGGTTACATCATCAAAAATAATTGMGCGGTTGGCCAGCAGGCTACAGATCTCTATCATAGGACAAATTTATATCGTTTCTACYGTATATCGTTTATATCGCGCATTCCTAGTGGACATGGTTGCATACTTGTGTGCGTCTTGACTTCTTAAAGGCAGTTGTAAAGCATGATGATGCTGAAAACTGTCACGAACACTTGATCGGCCTGATCACGACTAAACCCAATTMTACCCGATTTTCAGAAAATGGCCATATCTGCCACCGATACCAATACTGAGTATCTGATCGAGACATCCCTGGTAATTATGAGAGTCGGATCTTGTAATTACAAGAAAAGGAGTCCATTTTTTTGTTTGGTTAATGCAACGCTCTTCTGTAGTTTTGGTCTAACCTTGAAAATAAAGTTAGGCACATGAGATGTCCCACTCAAGAGTGTCTGTTGTGAAGGATCATCAGCTACGTTTAGCTCAATGTTTGGAAAATTGTGTTTGCAATTTCTGTTGCAAGACGTTACAAAGAAGCACCAGGACAGTAATACAGACTCTGACATACTCCGTTTCTGTCAGATTAATGGAAACCTGTTTGTGTGTGAAAAGGCGCTGCTGTGACGTCATAACAGGTTCCGGGGTTGTGGACGACATGGATGCAACAAATGGATTTGCTGTTTGCTCTGAGCTCCACTTATTGCAACAATAATAAAAAAAAGGCCTTGAAGGAATCTGCTCACATTACCCAAACCTTAAAATAATTTTTATCAGGTTTTGTGCACTTACAGAGAGAGCACCTGAGTGGATTGATTGCCGACTGGGAGCAGAATTTACCTTCAAAGTAATGTTCTTCAGCAGCGTGTCCTCCAACACGGCCTGCAGCTTCCTGTTAATCTCCAGCGACAGGTCCAGGGTCAGCCCGCTGTCCGCCGGGTGGGAGGTGTACAGAGACGCCATGATGCCGCCTCGCCGACTCAGATGGGCCTTGTTAATATCTGACGCCTCCGATGAGAGGGCCCCTGTCTCCTCCCTTAGCACATAGCTCTGGATAATTCTGTAGGCAACAGAGAAACGAGGGGGTAGAAATGAGTCAAATCTTGTGCTTCAGAAAGGAGAGTGAGTATCAGCTGGAGACTGTTGAGCAGAGAAAATTGAGAAAGTGGGACTTTGTAATTCGGGAGCTTCTAGGGAGCAATAAACCATTTCAGAGGATGTTACAGGAATGGCAACTCCTGGAGGGAGACGGCCTGCTGGACTCGTGCAACCCAGCAGCCGTTCAGTCATRGTTAGAAAGATTATTATTGTACCTGTCAGAGGAGGAAAGGTAATGAAAACGGCAAAAGTTATAACAGGCAATCAATTAATCAGCAGCGCCTTTTCAGTTTGCGGGAGAAAGCGTGATAAATCTTCAWGGGAATAATTTCTCATCGCCGTAACAATTTAGCGTGAAGGTTACGCCACGTTTATTACAGAGAGGAACAGATAAAAACAGAAAAGAAAAAAGAATTCATTAGCTTAACAGCACCAAACTTCCTGTTGTGTTTGCAGCCAGGAGAGCACCGGCAAAGTGTTTCTATTTCAAGAGGGAGAGCCGTCACTGTGATTCATGTTCATTACTGCTACCTAAATTATCGCCTTTAAATGCAGCCAAAGCTGAAAGGTTTTCTTTTTTTAAATAGTTCGGGAACTTAGAAAGTTTAGGAACCTCTGTGTGAGTCTCATTTGTGAAATCTTCACTCTGCATGTTAAGAGCTATAAAATTAAAAGCTATAAATGGAGCGCGCTCAGTTCAGGGTTGTAACGTCGATGCAGCTCTCTTCTCTTTTACAAAGACCAACAAAAACGAGTGAGCGCAGGTGAAGAAACTACACACCGTCAGTCCGACAGAAAAGGTCGAACTCTTGTTCTTCAGATGATTTTGAAAAAGAAAAACTAAGGGAGTAAAAATCAATATTTTAAACCTGCTCTCAAGTCAAACACGTCTGAAGCTCAGATGGTGAAACATCAAACGCATTCAGCCACCTGCTGACATTGTTTTAAATCTGTCGAGGTGTGTGAGGGCCCGACTGTGAGGGAGAACTGACAGGAATTTCTCTTTCTTAAAAGAGTCAGATATCCTTCAAAATGATAAAGACGCCTGCTGATTTATGAGCTTTAATCGCTGCTTCTGTGTCAGTTTTGTTAGCAAAGTAGTGCAAAAAAAAAAAAACACCAAACACAAGCGAACTTCAATTTCCACAACAACTGTAAATTTGGTACATTTTATAACACCGAAACTGATTTGACAGCTTTAAACATGAGGATGAAGAGATGATGATGCTTCCATCATGTTCTGCCAAACTGCAGAAGCATCTTTCAAAAACAAATACAAATAAACTTTTGTGAAATTTTGAAAAGGCAAACAACACAATCTGGTCCAGTTCTGGGAACATTTTGTTTTTACCCCACAGAGAAAAACCCGGTGAAACATCTCATGTCTGTGACGAGTCAAACAGGCTGACGGAGCTGAGGTTCACCCACACTAGGGCTGCCACGATTAACTGATTAATAGACAACTAATCGATTATTAAAATAATCGATGACTAATTTAATAATCGATTAATCGTTTTCTTTTTTTTTTT